TTAATCATACAATTACATATTTTAGATATCTGCACGTTCAATTGTATTGACTCAGCTAATGGATTAAATAACCGATTTATTGGTTCAAATAGTTAATTATAACATTGTCTCGGTTAAATTAACAACACTGGTTATGATATAAATATTTTATTACTGACATTACGACTTATGTCAACATTACAAAAAAGCTACAGCATCATAACTAATTATATGCATACTTCAATTGCTCATACCACTATATATCAAAGATGTATTATTACAGTATTTTATAATCTGCAAGAGACAAAATTTTATAAATAAAGTAAACTTGTTCCTATAATTCAAAGTGTTATACCTCTTTCTTTAACAATGAAACTATGCAAATGCAGATCATTAACACACAGCCGTATATCTAATAAAGAGTGTATATTTTATAAACCTTGAAAATCACAGAGAGATAGAAGAGAAAGAATAATTGAGAAGACGTGTATTACAAAATTGGATTTAATAAATTTCTTGCAGAACCAATGCTTGAACCTATAATCAAAAATATAGTTAGTCGAATGACATATATAACATTCAAAGCCTCACGACTTACTAATCTTTATGTTCTTTATTTTCTTAATACGAATCAATCTATTTCTAACTTGGATTACAACCACTTTATGCGATTGCCTTTTCAAGCCGTTCTAAAAGAAAAAACATCCAATATTCCTAAGAATACCATAGATATAATATTAAATAATGTTTGTGATAACTTATATGCTCCTTTGCATCCTGCAAATCTTATGTGGAATGATGAAAGGTATGTATATAATATGGGCTGCTGTTTTCTATACAATTATATAATAATTTTTATAATCATCTTATTTTTTTAGTGATCTAGGACAAATAATTAGTTCAATAGCACGATTATATGCTATTAACTCTCAAAATCACGTCATTGTAAATTTGCATAATCGCATATCTCGTTGGGTCTAATGGAAATTGGAAAAACAATTACATTTTCTTAGCAAAAAAAAAAGTAGTATGCTTACACATCAGCTTGTTTCTAATCTTATACGTAATCAACCTTTTTCACTTCCTAAGTTTGTTTATAAACTTGAACCTCAATTTTGTATTCTTGTCAAAATTCGTGTATACTATATTTTTAAAAAAACAAAACTATACTAGAAAACAAATTAATTTCTGAAGAAGCTATTAGCCAAGAATGATGGAATTATCTTCAACCACTTTGGAAAATTCTTATTACATTCGAAAAAAATAATCGTGCAGAAGCAGGGAGTCGACACAATTCACATAAGCAAGGCCATGGATTACGTTTATTTACAATTCTACCACATACAAAGTTTCATCAGCGGTTTGTACTAATAGACTCTGATGCTTTGTATCAAGTAC